TTGAAGATATTAAGATAAAAGAAAGATTCTTAAAACAGACTTTGGTATACCAAGCCAAGAAATGAAGGTATTAGCAGTTTAATATGTTTTGGAATGGGGAAGGGAGAAAAGGGGGTGCTGGGAGGGAAGAATTGCATTTGATGACTGTTTGATTTTAATTCTGCTTTATGTATCTCTGATTTGTTACCAACTGCTTTCATGATTTCTCCAATTGGTATCCAGTGGCCAAATCTGACCCAGCTCCCTCTCCCCACCCCTTCCTTGTTTTAAATGAGATCTGGTTTTACTTAGATGAATTAAATGTCACTATATTTGTTTCTGTGAATTGTTCCAGCAAAAATTACAGCATCAATGTCTGACTTTAAACGTCTGTAAGACTGTCTGCCTTTCTGGGCTATTTATAGTTGCCTTTTAAAGGCTCTAATAAATGCTTTTAGATTGCCATTGGTTTGCTTTCCCTTTATGGAGCCTCAAAATTGGTACACTTCGAAGTACCAGCTGAAAATACCTGTTTTTCTTTTTTTCAAAAGTAATGCCTGTTCATTGTAAGATTTTAGAAAGTATAAATAAGCAAACAGAAGAAAAAGGAGGAGAAAAAGTAATCATACCAAACAGAGAGGGCCACAATTAACATTTTATTGCATATCATTTTGTCTTTTCTGCATGTTTAAATGTATTTAAACTTGAAAAAATTATATTATACAAGCTGTTTTATAGTCCTACTTTATTTTTTCTACCAAACACTATGTTTTACATTTTTCCTGTCATTCTTCTATTCCATTGCTTTTAATGGCTACATCAAAAGTAATGAGTAATAATATGATTGTGATGCAGGCTCGGTGAGTCAAGAAGTCGAAAGAAAGATTTCTTGGACTCTCAAGGCCTGGCAGTAGTGCTCTTTTATTCAGAGAATAGCATGGAGTAGCATGGGGACAGGACCCATGGACAGTAAGGAGGTGCAGGCATGGGGACAGGACCCATGGGCAGTTAGAACTGCCGGCATGGGGACAGGACCCATGGGCAGTGAAGAGCTGCAATGTGTGGAGGGTTAGAGCTAAATTTATAAGGTATAGGTATGTGAGTTATTTCTTTACAAGACAAAGGAAAGATCATGTAAAAAGTCATTAAATGGTATTAGTGCAGGTGGGGTCTGGTTATTGTGTGGTCATATAACTTTAGATATGTATTGGGTCATATAGATCAGCATGTAGGCCAGGATGCCCTGGGCTTCTCTCCCTGGGGCAGCCCTAATCCACACCATAAAATCCATCAGGTCATATAGATCAGCATGTAGGCCAGGATACCTTGGGCCTCTCTACCTGGGGCAGCCTTGATCCACATCAATTATATCATTCCCTGTGAAACAGTCCCACATTTATTAGATGGCTAGGCCATAGACAAAATTTGCTACTACAAAAGTGATACAAATTATGCGTCTGTGCTCCTTCATGATAATTTCTTTAGGATAAATTGCTACAAGTGGAATTAATGGAACAGAGGCTGCACCAAATTCATAGACTATTGTCACATATAGCCAACTAACCTCCAGGAATAGTTCAAATTAAATACGTATATATTCTATTTGAATATTTCTTTACAATGACAGTATAATAAGGTGCATTTGTGCTCGGAGCACCATATCTCTAATAATTCAATCATTGGTTTAACAAATCTTATTAAACACTTTTTCATGCCAGGCACAATTTTTTTCAACTCTAGACTTCCAGAGAGTTCTGCAACATAGTTACATGCAGTTATTATACTGAAATCCACAGTTCTAGGGAAGCTGCTAAGTAAAAGTAAATAATATGACTGTTTTTTGTAACTATGTATAAACTGGCAGCTAGGACAAGGGAGAGGCAAAGTAAATGGAAGGAATTGAGAGCTGACCTTTGGAAGACTGTCAACTCTGATGTTTTTAGAGTTCTAGGAATGCTGATTCTCTTATTAGGACCGAAATCTCCTTGAGGATATTATATTGTTCCATTATTTACTAATTCGTTCCTTCAAAGTATAATTAGTGAATGCCTACGTGACATATATTGCTCTACCTGCTGGAGACACAGTGGTAAATAAGACAAGGAGACCTTTTTCTCATGGAGCTTATAATCTATTTCATGGGACAATCCAGCCAATAAACAAATAAATCAATCAGTAGTGGTGTTTTGAAATGAGTAAATCATGTTAATGAGACAGAAAATAATGGTGTGGGGAGGATTTTAGTTTACATACTCATCAAATGAGTCCTCTCTGAAAAGGTGACATTAAAGATGAGACTTCAGGGGCTGGCCCCGTGGCCGAGTGGTTAAGTTGTGGGCTCTGCTTTGGTGGCCCAGGGTTTCACCGGTTTGGATTCTGGGCAGGGACCTAGTACCGCTCATCAGGCCATGCTGAGGCGGCATCCCACATAGCACAAACAGAAGGACCTACAACTAGAATATATAACTTTGTACTGGGGTGCTTTGGGGGGAAGAAGAAGAAGAAGAAGAAGAGGAAAGATTGGCAACAGATGTTAGCTCAGGTGCCAATCTTTAAAGAAAAAAAAAAAAGGATGAGACTTCAGTGATGATAAGAAGCCACACAGGCAGAAAAGGAAGTGGAAAGGCCCTGGGCAGGAACATCCTTCTGTGTTAGAGCGGAGCTTAGCAAACTTTTTCCATAATGAGCCAGATAGTAAATATTTTTGGCTTCGTGGACCACATGGTCTCTGTTGCAACTACTCAAGTCTGCAGCAGTAGCCTGACAGTTAAGTAGCCATAGACAATATATAAACAATGGTCTGAATGTGTTCCAACTAAACTTTATTTACAAAAACAACCAGTTAGCCAGACTTGGCACTTAGACGATAGTTTTCTGACCCCAGTGTTACTGAGAAAGGGAGACTCAGTGATGATAGAGAGTGCACAGTGAGAAGCAGATTCGTAGGAGAAAACTTCCAGAGATGGGCAGACAGACGTGTACAATCTGTATACAATACAGATTATGCAAATTACTCTAATTGCCATGGGAAGACACTGGAGGGTTTGAAAGAGGGGAGTGATATGTTTTGATTTCATTTTTCAAAAGAGTAGATTAAAGCACAGCAAAGACAGAAAGAGATCTCTTAGGAAGCTATTGTGGTCCATAAAGACTTAAGACATGGTGGTTTTGACTACTAGGAGAAAGTGGCTGGATTTCAGATCTGCTGTGAAGGTGAACCGATAGGACCTGCTGCTAGTTTACGTGATGGGAATGAAGGAGAGTGATTAGACCATAGTCTCGCATATAGGAGATATTTTTAAAATGTAAATTAAACTGAATTTTCCCTGCTTCAAGCAATAAAAACTATCTTTGGTTAGCGCAAGCAAAAGAAAATATTATTGAAAAGATATCAGGTAGCTTATAGCATCAAAGGAGGTATGAAGAGAGAGAACCTGTTTCAAGCAGAAGCAAGAGGCAAGGCAAAATGGAAATCTTATCTCAGGGACCGCCTTCTCAGGAGCTGCAACTTGGGCCCTTCTCCGGGGAGGCTTAAATGCACCATCACAACGCTGGCCTCTTGACTCCTGGTCTTTGCCTGGAATAATGGGATTCAGCACCTTGTCACTTCCTTAAGATTCAAAGTCTTGTTCTTGCTATTCTAAATAGCCACTCCAAAGTCATGTGACCCTTCTCCAGGGGCAGGGTGATGAAACACCCAAGTGAGAGGTGGCTTCTGTCACCTCCTCTTGCATCATCCTAATCCCAGCCACCATCATCTCTCACCTGACCATCTCTCACCTTCCTGGTTTACCTGCCCACATCTGCCTTTAAATTTCTCCAACCAATTTTTCACTGGACAGCCAGAGTAATCTTTTTAACACGGAAAATGTATCACGCTGTGCCCTTGGTTAATATACTCCAATCACTTTCACTGTTCTTGGGAAAAGACCCAAATCTTTGATTCTCCCTCCTTGGCCACTGATACTCTCTGTCCCTATCTCTCTTTCCAGCTTCAATTCCCCCCCCTACTCTCACCCTTTGCTTTGAATTTAGTTCTATGGAAAGCATGCCCTATGCGTCTTTGAGTCTCAGAGCCTTTGTAAATGCTGTACTTCTACTTGGGAAACTCTTTTTCTCTTTCTTCTAATTTAGTTAACTTGTATTCGTCTTTCAGATTGCAGCTCAGACATCCATCTCTCCTAGACTAGATAAGGACCTAGTATTATAAGCTATTTCAAGAAGGAGGGGAGAGAAATTAATTCAAATGAAAGGTTAAAGGAGGACTATAGATAAGGACAGTTTCCAAGGTGCTAGGCATTGTGCTCTTTTAGATTACATCATTTAATCCTTACAAAAACATTTTGAGATAAGTCAACTATTGGCCCTGTTTTAAATAAATACAAGGAAACTTAAAGATATTTGTAAGATGCTGATATCATACAGCTAAGGTGTGGTGGAACCATAGTTAGAATCCAAGTCTTTGATCTAAACATACCTACCCTTGAACTGCGCTACCATAGGTCTGTATTATGGAGCTTGGACTGTGCCCCATGGTAGCAGGAGAAGGGATATTTACATTTCAAGTTAGAACAATCACTCTGGATGAAAGTGGCAGATGAGTTAGAAGGCTGTTATGTAAATCAGGTAAAACCAGGTTTTTATCTGATCAGGAAAACCTGAATTCAGTGATAAAATGCAGATACGTTCCTGTAATGATAGGTTCTTGTGAGAACCAGGCCTTCAAATTCTCTTAGAACAAAAGAAGCAGCAGCCATACTACACCTGTAAATAGTGAGAGTCTTAACAACTAGACAATGACTGTGCCACAAACAAACAAAATAGGACAGAGAGCAGGCCTGAGCTGAGAACATTTTTACCTAAGGCGAGAGCCAGGAGAGGTGCAGAGCATGCTATCAGCTTGAATGTGGGGTCCTGGACCAAACTTTCTCTGATTACCCCTGTTAAGCGACACCCTCCCTCCTTGCTCCGACCGTTGTTCTCCAATTCCTAATTCATTTTACTTTCTCCTTGGTACTTACCAGCATCGGCGGTGACCTCAGTTTATTGTTTTCATGTTTATTGATGCCCAGCTCTCAAATGCAAATTCCACAATGGTGGGACTCTGTTCACTCATTCTTAAAAATAGGTGGGTCTGGCACACAGTAGGAGCTCAATTTAAAAACTGAATAAAAAACAAAATAAGAATGGAAATTATTAGTAACAAATTATCCATTGGAGAATTTTAGAGGCCACTGGGGAAATACTTTCCTTACACATCAAGGAGAAATTGAACTGTGATCGTAAGACGTAAAATCTCATTATATTCAACTTCTTCAGCAACGCAGATGCAGCTCAAGGTAAACTCTAGGCAACTTGGGCTGGCATCCAACCAAGACAGGGATGGGTAGACTGATATTCAAGATAAGAACAAGAGAAGCCTTTAGAACCATATTAGTAAAACATGTACATACCATTTAAGACAAAGAATAACCATGATAATCACCTTGTGAATTTCTTGAACCTGTTAAATTTGCCAAGCTTGTCAGTCTTGTTTCCTTTAGGTTGGTTGCTCAGAGTAAATAGCAATACAATTCTTAAACAGAGTTGGAGTATGTGTATGTGTGTATATATGAATGTGTGTACGTGTGTGTGTGTGTTAAGAACAAGAAATAAGGCATCTCCCATTTGGTAACAGTTGTGAAAAAGAATGGAAAATGACCTGGTTCCTGGGGTTTGGGGGAAATAGTAGAAGGACAGAGAAGTGGCCAAGGTGGCTTAGTGGTAGGAAACAGTGGTGACATCCCTGAACTTAAATAGAAATATCTATTGGGAACCACATATTGTCTGCCCTGCTGTCATGCAAGTCTCTTTTTTAACGTCAGCTCTTCAGAGACACCTTGTTTGATGAGTATATAAACTGAAACCTTGGTCTACACCATTATTTTCTGTCTCATTAACATAATTTATTCATTTCTTTGAGAAGGTTAAAGCAGATGTTTCTATATTTTACAGATGGGGAAACTGAGTCCTCATGGGATTCAGATTTAAGCAGTGATTATTGAATAAATACTGTGAGCCCAGCACAGTGAGAGATGGATTCCTATTCATCATCTCATTCCAACATCACAGCAATTTGGTGACATAGGTATCATCCCCATATCACAGAAGAAGACACTGAGGTTCAGAGAAATGTTGCTTTTACAAGCCAATCAGGGTGTTGAGGACAGAGCTGGAACTGGAGTCTGCCTCCCAGTGCATGCTTTCTCTATAATACCAAAAAAAAAAAAAAAAATTTATTTCAGACTATTCTTTATTAGGTAATTTGATTTTTAAGCCAGAAAATTTGGTATTATAATTCATATTATTTTGGTACTATCTGGACATCTAGAAAATGGAGAAACATGATCTCATACTTCACACTTCTTTTGCTTCTATATAAAATACAGCATCATTTTGGGTGAGGCAGAATTTACGATGAGGTTGTAGATATTACTCAAAGAAAAAGTGGGCGAGAAAGAGGATTTCCAGATGAAGTTACTAGCAATGTTATAATGCTGGATTTCTGCTTCTCCTTCCCAGCACCAACTTTCAGTTTAGTCATTTGCTCATAACATATTATAACCTCTTTCCATCATAAACTGGCACAAAACTTTCTTAAATTGACTCAGAAGGAGAAACTGTAAGGTTAAATCAGGAAAGAAGTAAAACCCATGGTCTCTGAGAAGTTGGACCAGGGTTGGAGGGTAGGGTTGGGAGGCAGAATAGAAGAGAGAAGGAACAAAAGCTGTAGGTCAACGCAAGGCCTGCTCTGGAAATGACAGCAGCTGAGAAGGAAACGTGAGAATGCTGTGGATTTGTCAACAAAGGAGGAACTGTTTGAAATTAGGAGACAGGGAGTGTTTGGAGAAGTACAGACAATATCCGGCAGGCACTGGGCGAAGCAGTTGTTCAATGGCTGAATGAAGAGCTCTGCTTAAGTGTGTCTAAATGTCTCATGAGGATTCCAGGCAAGATAAGGCTCAGGCATAATTCCAGGGCAAGAAGTTGTGGGACAGGTTTTGAGCAAAATAGCCTACCTTGTTTGGGTTCTGTCCTAATTCATTAACACCACTCTTTCCTTCCTCCTCAGAAAGCAGAGGCCCCCAACAAGTGCCATCTGAAGACGCTTTGTCTCCCTGACCTTCCTGCCGCCCCTCCCCCTCCCTCTTCCTACACCACAGACCTCCACCCAAGCCAATCTTTACAGGCAATGACCTGCATGCAGAATTGAGGCCATCTTTTCTACTCTTTATCCCATCAACTCTCATGTTTCCACTAAAATTTTTCTCATCTAATAGTTGCCAGGAAAGTAACTTGATCACTGACGACTTCATGTAAGCAATTTGCATGTTAAAGAAGGTTCTTGTTAATCTCAACGGCCAAGAGCATTAATAAGAGAATTTTACCAAAGATATTTTGACCATTTTTCATGATGCAGCTCAAATTATACAAAGACAATTACTATTACTATTAATTTATCTATATTAAGGAGGTGCTAGAGACACGATTGAATTTTATTATCAAAGTGATACAGGATTGTAAAGTCACAACCATTGTATTGTACCCTCAACATGCTAAGGAACAGCTTAAATTTGAAGAACTATCTACAAGAGTAATCTGCTTGGTAAATAGCTGAATTTGAGAGGATACGGTAAAATGGCAGAGGAATTGTTTCAAAATTTTCGAGTCTGACTGAGGCACTTGAGCAAATCAAGAAATGGCAACAGATATGCAGGATGCTCATTTGTTTTGTTGAAAATGACAACTACTAAGTCGGTAAAGCTTTCTCCCCGAATTCATGCAAAGATCTAGAAAACTGAGGACTGAAAACAGATCTCACTAGTTAAAGTTGATTAAGAAACACTTTTTTATGTCTGAACTTCATGCAGTCAGCAAGGTTTAAGAGAAGTCACTGTCAGTATTGGGTCTGCTGAGCAATTTTTTCTTTCTCAGTTGTCTCTGTGGGATGAAGTAAATCGGGGCGTCTCGTGGTGTTTTCCTAAGCGTTTTTGCAAATTGTAATAAACTTCAATGGCATTCTCAGGAAACCATCCACCTCCTCACCGTGCATTGCTCCTTACCGTAGCCACGTCTATAAAAGAGCTCCCTGTCATGGCAAAGAAAGTGCAGGTCTTTTCCTGCCTTTGTCATGAATCACCCGGCAAAAGACTTTGAAAGTGGTGCAGGAGGGGGACCTTACCTGATTTAGTATTTACTTTTGAACTTTATACTCCACAATTTTGTAATTACAGTGATCAAATTTCCATTTTTAGTAAAGAAAAGGAATTTTGCAACCAAGGAAGTAGCCACCATAAGTTTCTAGAGAGCTAGGAGGTCAGCAGGCAAAAAGAAAAACAGAAGTAGGAACACGGCGAATTCTTTTTCATGATGGAATAGACGGTGACAAGATGATTAGAAAAGCATTAAGGCATTTGTAAAGCTGGGTCTTAATCCTGAGAAATACGAATGTTAAATATAGACTATCCAATCAATCAACAAGTTTTATCCTCTATTATTTAATGGCAAACAATTGGCAAAGTGCTCAAATTAACACAATATAAGAAACAAGAGATTAATAACTATTTATTTTGTCTAGCTATTTTGATTAAAGGGCTTCCATAAACTTCTTGGCTCAGAAATGGATAAGACAATAAAATTAGTTTGGTCATAATCTATCATTTAACTTAAAGACAAACGTCTTTTAGAAAATTGCATCATTTTCTTGGTCGGAGAATTAAAGAATAAACAAAGTATATGGACCTAAACAGAATCTGAAAGCTTTTCTTTAAATAAGTTGAAATGAATGATCACAATAATGAACCGCAGCAGAGGACATGGTGGGTTTGGGGCAAAAATTCTCACAGCTGTAACTTGTATCCCTGAAATTGTTACACTATTCACAGATAAATTTTCCACATCCTCAAATTTGCTCACTTGTAGCTTGTATTAATTGAAAATTCATTCCCCAATTAGTGTACTGTTGAAGGTGTTTTAAAAATGTCTTGTTTATAACAGTTGTTGGCACCACTGGAGTTCAAAATGATGCCAACCAAATGCCATTTCAAATAGAAACCTTTCTTTCTTCTTTTGGCAGCAGAAAAGAGCAGAGTCACACAGTAGCTCTTGATTTATGAACTGTGCTTTCTTATTCTCAGACTCCCACGATGTGTACTGTTCCCTTTAAGGAACTGGGTTGGAAGCATTTAACAAGAAAATAATCCCATCTCCAAATCTGCTTTTTAATTTGAAATCATGTGGGCTGTTGACCATAAGTGGTTCCATTCTCATGGCTCGAAGGCTCAGGTGAGAGAATGGAGACTGAGAACTCTTGAGCTGCTTCTCCTGTTTGTAAAGTGTCTGATGACACATCAGACAGGAACCTACAATGAAAGATATATGTTGTGGACAAAATTTATGAACATACTTTACCTTCAACATTCCAGTAAGCATTTTGTCAGCCACGGTCATATCCTGAAATTATACAATTGTCCACCCAAAACACGGTTGAAGTACTGACAAAGGACAGGATGTAACTACTCAAAGCAGATCTGAAGGACGGGTAGGTGAAGTGGCTGGGGATGGGTGGATGGATAGAGAGAAGCTCAAACAAGCCTTACAGGATCTTTTGGCTGTTAAGCAGAGTCCATCCTCACAGTGGTCCACCAAACAAAGTGTTTATTGTAAAGTAGGCCGGATCCCTGGAGAAGAAGAAAAATGATTCCTTTTGACTGGAGGGAAATTAACTCTTTCTGCCCTTTTGCAGCAGGGAAGGTGCTGGATAAGTATTTAGTGATTAATTTCCCTCGTTGGTTTCAAGGGGAGTCTCAGTGTCAGGAGTATTTACCCTACTGCATTTTCTATGCCGCAGAGTGTCAGGATCCTCTAGTCTCAGGTCTCCCTTCCCCCTTACACACTCTTTCCCCACTAGCACAGGTAGACTACATGGAAAACATATCTTAATACTTGCTAAACCATTAAAACTGGGCTGCAGTGACTTCTTTTTTCGCGTAGAAGTAACTAAAGGCTATTTAGCAATGCATTTTTAAAATTTCCTTTCAGACTTGAGCTGGGAAATCCATTGGCCTATACCACAGATGCTGAAAGTGATAAGAACTGTATGTTCTGCTTTGATCTTTTAAACACTGAATTTGGAAGGAAAAAAATGATTTTGCCTAGGGATGGCTGTGAAAGCATCAGGAATACACTGAAGAACTAGAGAGAAAGGTCCAATTGTATTATGCTCCCTTTAAGAGGGAAACAAGATTAGCAACGTTGGCAAATTTTCAGCTTCCATTAACAGAGATGGAGAAGAGTGAACAGTATCAAAAAAAAGAAAAGAAAAGATGGATGTTTTGAGACAAAGGCAGAAGCAATTTTATACCTTATTGAAAGCTTACCTGGGAGTGGTTTTAACTCCTCTGGGTTTAAGAAAGATTTTTTTTTTCTCTCGAGACTAAAGGTGGAGCTAAAATAAAGGAGTTGAATCTGAAATAGCATCCCTGTCAGTTCTGTGCTAGCCTGGGAAACACACAAGGAAGAACAATCTCCTGTGGAAGAGAGAGGACGGCGGAAGGTGAGGACTACCTATTACGGCAACCAGAATGTAAGTTACATTTTAACATGAAGGTCGAAACTGTTAATTGCCTTCTTCTAAGGAAAACCATCTGACTTAAACAGAAAGCTTCTAAGACTGCTGGACGAATATCTGAATTATACTTTGTCTTTTTATATGGTAGATTATTTTGTTCTCTAAATGCCCTCATGCCAGAAGAGTCTACAAAAATAAGACAAAATTTTTTTATCTCAGGTCAGAAAAGGTACCGAGGCTTCATCTGGGATAATCATAGTGTTTACTCAAGCCTTATGCATATATAAAAATGTCATTTTCTCTAATTGCATATTTTGTTCCTATAATGACTGAGTGGAATTCTAAACTGAAATAATTTAGAGTAATCAATACTGAATGTCTATCGTTCAAACGAAGTCTTAGCTATTTCAGATGGCATAAAATTGCTTCAAGTTTCGCAAGTTGCTATAAAGTTGGAAATTAAAAGCTAAAGCTAAAGTGTGTTTAATTTTCTTTTTTTTTTTTTTTTTTTCAGGTCTTAACTGAAAACCTAAACCAACAAACACCAACACACCTAGAACTATTACTACTACGAAACTCAGCTGGATGCCCCAAGGGTACAGGAAAGAATGAGCTATTACGGCAGCAGCTATCCGATTGTAAATGTGGACCCCAAATACCCAGGCTACCCCCCAGAGCATGTTATAGCTGAGAAGAGAAGAGCGAGAAGACGCCTGCTCCACAAAGATGGCAGTTGCAACGTGTACTTCAAGCACATTTTTGGAGAATGGGGAAGCTATGTGGTCGACATTTTCACCACTCTTGTAGACACCAAGTGGCGCCATATGTTTGTGATATTTTCTTTATCTTATATTCTCTCCTGGTTGATATTTGGCTCTATCTTTTGGTTAATAGCCTTTCATCATGGAGATCTGTTAAATGATCCGGACATTACACCCTGTGTTGACAACGTCCATTCTTTTACAGGCGCGTTTTTATTCTCCCTTGAGACCCAAACTACCATAGGTTATGGTTACCGCTGTGTCACTGAAGAATGCTCTGTGGCAGTGCTCATGGTGATTCTTCAGTCCATTTTAAGCAGCATCATAAATACCTTCATTATTGGAGCTGCCTTGGCCAAAATGGCAACCGCTCGAAAGAGAGCACAAACCATTCGGTTCAGCTATTTTGCACTCATTGGCATGAGAGATGGGAAGCTTTGCCTCATGTGGCGCATTGGTGATTTCCGACCAAACCATGTGGTAGAAGGCACAGTTAGAGCCCAACTTCTCCGCTACACAGAAGACAGCGAAGGGCGGATGACAATGGCATTTAAAGACCTAAAGTTAGTCAATGACCAGATCATCCTTGTCACACCAGTAACTATTGTCCATGAAATTGACCAAGAGAGCCCTCTGTATGCCCTTGACCGAAAAGCAGTGGCCAAAGATAACTTTGAGATTTTGGTGACATTTATCTATACTGGTGATTCCACTGGGACATCCCACCAATCCAGAAGTTCCTATGTTCCCCGAGAAATTCTCTGGGGGCATAGGTTTAATGATGTCTTGGAAGTTAAGAGAAAGTATTACAAAGTGAACTGTTTGCAGTTTGAGGGAAGTGTTGAAGTCTATGCTCCCTTTTGCAGTGCCAAACAATTGGACTGGAAAGACCAGCAGCTCCACAACATGGAGAAAGCCCCACCAGTCCGAAGCTCCAGCACATCAGATACCAAGGTCAGAAGAAGGTCATTTAGTGCAGTTGCCATTGTCAGCAGCTGTGAAAACCCAGAGGAGACCACCACCTCTGCCACAGATGAGTGTAAAGAAGCACCTTATCAGAAAGCTCTCCTGACTTTAAATAGAATCTCTGTAGAATCCCAAATGTAGTCCTAAATTATAATTACAAGGGCTTCCACTCAATCGTTAAACTCTCTAGCCAATCACCTTAAGGCAAGTAGTTATAATCAGGGTTTCTCAAGAATGTTATATAGTATGTTTGATAGTGATGGGGGGGTAAGAGCAGGTTAAAATCGATAAAAGATAATCTAAAAATTACATAGTTTCCAATCATTTGAACTTTTTTTTTGGCTAGCAGATTTTGTATTACAAAAGCTATTAAGAACCTAATTGATTTTAAATTTCATCTCTTTTATTGTCCCATATACTTGTATCTTCAATTGGAGGTGTAATATTCAGTAATGGGGATCAAAGGTAGGGTATTGGAATAAATAAAAATAGGAAGATAGGCAGGCAGCATGAATAACAAATTTTTAAGTGTGTCAAAATTGATGGTATAATGAGTGATTTCCTATAAAAGTGTCATGTCATCTAACTGAGATATGCAAGATATGCATTCAGTAGATGGTAATGCTGAGATATTTAAGCTGGTTCGATGTTTGTCGCTCATAGTGTCTTGGTATCAGCAGGCAGAGGTAGTGGCTGTAAGAAATAGGCAATGCCCCCAATTCAGACAGTTCTTCCACTGCCACTTGCCTGGATAATGATCAATGAGTGCTAGAAACTATTTTTCCTCTAACCCTTTAGGCAGAAGAAAAGTTGACACTATTATTCAGAGCAGTATTTCTCTCTTAAATGCCCTGGTTGACTCCAACAAATGGCTTTACATGCAAGAGCAGAAATAAGGCGACTAGAACCTTTCTAGGTTCTCTGACAAGGGGGCTTCCTATGCCCACCTCCCACCTTCTCCAAGGACAACAGGAAGGAACAGGATCATAGAGATGGGGTGAGGGAATAGGTGGAAGTATAAACATTCTCAGCTATTTAGGAAAAAACCTGTGCATGTGTCTGAATGACTGAAGCTTGGGCTGGGACCTTTATTTGGAAGGGAGGTGGGCAAGGGGAAAGGTATTTATTTGCGCCCAGAAGCAGTTGTGTATGATTCCTGTCTTGGTCATTTTATAAGACATAAATGACTTGAATTGTGGATTTTAAGAAACTCATCCATTGAACTTGGAACAATCATTTAAACTGAAGATTTTGTGAAATCTAATTAAGGTGATTTAAATGCACAATATTAAGTGGATATGCTGAGCACCAGAGAATTGCTTAAATTTTAGGATATGAGATAAATTTGTATACTCTATTTCCATGTTAAAAGATGTTAATCATGATTATTTGAACTGCAAATCCAATCACTTATGAGTGAAGAGTCAGTCACTTTAAGCATTATAAATTGAAGAGTTATTAGCTACATTCAGAATTATCTGTTTTGTTTTACATTATTGCTAAGCTGGCAATATGTATATGCCACAGCTTTTTATTTGTTTACTTTATTTAAATATATATATGTGCACATATAGTTTTTGTTTTTTCTGGAAAATCTCTCTCCCTTTCTCCCTTTTCATTTACGTTAAAGCACACAAGCAAATTGAATCACATAGTCCACAATTACCGATAAAAGTAAAATATGGAGGTATATAAAGTTTTTCTTCTTTTTCCTTCTTCCTTCCTTCCTCCTTTCCTTCCTTTCTTTTGCCTATGAGCAGTAAAGTTCCTTTTTAAATGCACATGTACAAATCTTTTATTCTTATTATTTTATGGACAAGAGATTTGTTCAGGTCACAAGTTGTAAAACTGTCCTGAAGCTTACTATCGGAGATCTAAATAGTGCATATTTTTTTTCTGTCTTGCTTCACGAAAGCAGAACTCATTTTTTAAATTGCACCTGCCCTATAGATTTGGATTTTGTAGCAGCAATTACTCAGCTAAATTAGAGTCCAACAATCCACTACGTAGAAACAACTACCACCACAATAAACAAAAATGTCTTTATTTTTTCCTTTTGTTAGCTTGTTTCGCATCCACCTAGTCTCATTGCACTTTGCTTTACTTCCTGGACTCTGCCTGTCCGTGATCTTGCTTTGTCAGTTCAGAATAGAGACATCAATGCCCAGTAAGTACATTCTGTTGTACCATGTGATTCCATCATCAAATTCTCTTGCCCAGAATAGAATGTAAAATTGACATTCCCATGTAATATTTATAATTTTCTGTTTAGATTTATAACATACCTTGACACGCCAATGAGTTACTTGATAATAAAGATCTTAAAATAGTGCAAAAAGTGTGTGCATATGCCTATATTCCAGGTAGCATAAATTCTATTTGCAGATATGGTCAGCTGTAGGTACGGTGCACCAAAAATAAGATTGCCGCCTCATAGAATTAGAACATAGGCAGAATTACAAACCAGTTTTATGGGTTTTTAACAGCTTGTAGAACAGCTATATCTGAATTAACAACTAAGTGCTTCTGTGAGCATTGCAAGAAGGCTCTGTGCAAAATGACATTTCTAGTTTCAAATGTTCTGTTACTGATGAGAAGTAGGTTAAATCTTGTTTCTTGTGGCATCTATTTTCTCCCTAAAGATGGAATTATTCAGTGGACTTAATTAGATGGAAAACAGATTGAGGCATCAAGGCACTGCTCTATGGTGTGAAAAAGCCTGTGAACCGGGCCCTCGAGGAGTGAGGGAGAGAGAAGGGAATGCTGTTTTCATGGACCACCAGTTCATCAAGTGCTAATGGGTGTGTTATACAGATACACTTTCTTCCCACAACAAAACAGCAAGGTAGAGATTTTTAATTACCATGTCATCAAATATCTCATTCTTTGCTTCTTCCTGACTAAAGAATTCCCATTTGGGACAACAATTTGCCCAGGTTAAAAGAGAAAAAGAAAATTACGGCGATGCTTCTCAGTCTCCCTACCAGCTAGGCAGAGGGGGGGCGCTTAAGTGGCGTGGTTGTGGCCTATGAGATGGCAGCAGAACTCTCTGGATGTGAGCTTTAAGAAAGCTCTTCTGGGACCAGCCCAGTTCCACAGCGGTTAAGTGCTCATGTTCCACTTAGGCGGCCCAGGGTTTGCCAGCTCAGATGCCAGATGCAGACATGGCACCACTTGGCAAGCCATGCTATGGTGGGCGTCCCACATATAAAGTAGAGGAAGATGGGCACGGATATTAGCTCAGGGCCAGTCTTCCTCAGCAAAAAGAGGAGGATTAGCAGCAGATGTTAGCTCAGGGCTAATCTTCCTCAAAAAAAAAAAAAACAAAAAAAACAGAAAGAAAGCAAGGAAAAAAAAAAGAAAGTTCTTCTCTTGGGGCTGCCTTAGCTATCATATATCCGTTTACTCCCTGTCTTCATTCTTCTCCTTACCCAGACCTTAAACTTGGTAGTTGAAGTTCCTACAGCCATCTTGTGAGAATGAGAATCAAGGACACCCCTTCCAAGGAAAACTAGAAAAGTAGGAAAGAGTGCAAGTCTTAATTGCATGTCTCCAGACTTCTTCTGCATGAGTGAAAATAAATTATGATTTCCGACTGACATAGTGAGCGATCTATCTAGAGGGCATTATCCAGGAGAAAAAGGCTGGTCAGGAAAAAGTGAGGACAAGGTGGGTCCTACTTGTACTTGTACACGACATTTGATGGAGTTGGTCTCTGTGGAAACCGGGGAGTTGAGGAAATGCCGCTATTATTGTAAAACAAACACAAAAGAATTACTTTTGGCCTGGAAATCCCTCTGAGACACTGATAGCTGTGTGACCTTGATAAGAGGATTGACTAGGCGTGCTGTCAGGCTGCCCTTTATCTTCTTCCTTCCCTCACGCAGAATTACATTCTATATTTTAATGGGACTTTGACTAAGCCTAGTGACCTGAAATCCATGGAGACTCAGGCAAGCCAGCACCGTACAGCTTGGGCAAAAATGCAAAACTCTGCTAATACAGACAGCCCCAACTTAGGATGGTTCAACTTTATCATGGTACGAAAGCAATGCATTCAGTAGAAACCAAACTTGGAATTTTGAATTTTGATCTTTTCCTGGGCTGGCGATATGCTGTATGACCCTCTCTCTGGCGCTGGGCAGTGGCAGCCTCAGCTCCCAGTCACCACGTGATTACGAGGGTAAACACTCATATGCTTACAACCACTCTGTACCCCTCCAACAGTTCTATTTTTCACTTTCAGTACAGCATTTGATAAATTACACGAGATAGTCACCACTTTATTATAAAACAGGCTTTATTATAAAACAGGCTTTGTGTTAGATGATTTTGCCCAACTGTAGGCTCATCTAAGTGTTCTGAGCACGTTTAAGGTCAGCTAGGCTAAGCTAGGATGTTCACTTGGTTAGGTGTGTTAAGTGCATTTTCAACTTAAATTATTTTCAATTTCTGAGGGTTTATCTGGGTGTAATCTCATCGTAAATCGAGGAAGATCTGCCCTGTACTGTGTTTCAGACCCCAGGGAGAACAAACTGCATCAATTTATTCAAGTGGACTCTAACAGTACACCAAGAAACCTAGATCCTTACTTTAAATATTTGCATTTTATTACTTCTGAGTTGGCCAGGATATGTGCAAAGTGGGTTCTACAGACCACTTCCATTTCAATGACTGGGCTCCAAATTCTACTCAGTTTAGAATATTCTATTCATTCTACTCATTACAAGCATTGATTCTTCTGTTCTGAATGTCCTGCAAGGCCCTGTGTTTTTTTAAGGTGAGCTTCACCTTTGGACTTCTAGAAACCACCCCTACACACCCTTGGTACTCTCTAAATCACAGGGCTCTGCCTCAGTTCTAAATTTGGTGTGACCTGTCTCTCTCACTTCTGTCTTTAAAGGAGCATTGTGACCCACACTCTGGAAAGAATAACTTTGGACACTAGCGTGCAAGTAGGGATAACACAACAGACCAATTAAGGACAGGGAGGCACTTGACAAATTCTCTGCAAAGATTCTTCTAGATATGAGGTCTTTGAAAATGGAAGCTAGTAACTGAGACTCAGTTCAGATCCATCGGTGGTCAGAGAGAAAGCAAGGCCTCCTCACAGGGGCATTTTCCTGAAGAGGTGAAATCATAATGTTGCCGGGAAATCATCACCGGTCTGCATAGCCTTTGAGCTTTTCTTCAGTAAGAAAAACCTTACGTCCAAGTGAATTTGCAATTTCTTCTTTCACTGTTCTTAGTTTACTAAAGCAACTTAACACGAACCTTTTAGACTGTGTGGTTGGGTCATGAGATTTGGCTGGGGGCAAGCAGCATCTTGCCTCATCATGTCATCCCATGCTCCTTTCCTCGGGAATATCCATGCCTGTGGTTTGAGATCTCTTGTGCAGAGTTTGGAGACTTAAGTCTTCAGGGCTAAATATTTCAAAGCTGAATAGACTCTTAGTTGCTGAGTACCTAGCAGGAAAAATTTTACAATAAAATAAATGAACTATTGCCTTTTGCCATTGGTCTCGTTGATTTATTCTGTTTTATAAATACTGCAAAGTAAAAGAATCCTGGATCTTGAGTCTATCTGTCATCCCACAAAAAAGCAGCTGGACTCAGAGTGAGCACCTTCTGAATAAAGCAGGCAACCTGAGCTGGGTAATCACTGAACTCGGGCTCTCGATGGAAACTTTGGAGCCGCCACGGGCTGCAGAGAAACAGGTTACTCATTTGAAGTTTTCAGCAAGCCCAGTGGATGAAAACCCAAACAGATAGATTAAGTCTTGCTAAATTACATAGCCAAAGAATGCTTTTTCTCCATGCTATCACTTACCACAGGGGCCTATAAAACATCCTTAATCACTAGCTAAGTAACTTGAACTTGAGAAAGAAAGAGTCCCAAGAGGTTTAGTCCCTGTGAAAAGTTCTTTACAGAAAGTTATCAGAAACCTTCAAATTTCCACATAAAATACTTCAGTCACATGTGCTACAAACTGTGGTTAAAGGCTCTTTATTTGAATTAGAAGCACATGTTAGAAATCAGTTATGTATTGTGCTGCCTGTTGATTCTATCTGATATCAGTTTGCCTGGGGAAGGGAGGCTAGCCACCGGGACCAGGGTAAAGACAGAATAGCCTCGGCCAGCTGCCAATTCCAGAACCAAAGGTTTTTAGGACATTGACTCATTTAATCAGGACCTTGACTCATTTAATCAGATTCCATTTTACATATGAGAGAACCTCCAACTTGGAGAAGTTGTCTGCCCAAAGAGACACAGCCATGGAGGGACAGCAGAGGAAGAAAGCCCAACTACCAACGGCCAGGGCCCTTTTGAATCACCAAAGGCAGTAAGCAGTCCTTATTGCTGCCCGAGCTGGAGATATTTTTATTCTGTAATCATTAAAAGGGGAAAGTGATCCTTTCAAGACCCTTTGTTAAATAGAAGCCTGTTATTTTCTAGAAGTGCTTCTGAACTGAACTGTTAATTGGTTATGAATTATTTAAAGAGGTTGGAGTGTGGGGAAGGAAAAAGAAATGTGAGAAACAGCTGGTAAGAGCAATGATGAATGAGGATAATCTCCTTCAAAATGTAAACAAAAATGATTGAATTTTTTAAAAAAGTTTCTCCCCTTTTCAGGGCAATGCTAATGCACAGAGGGCCACGCCAAGCCTGTCACCTTGGAAGCGGGAACATCCAGTCCTCTGGCAGGGCCAGCCTTAGGGAATAAGCAAACACATTGAGTAGTGAGGTTTTTCTTCTGGTAATGGACCGTTAAATTTTTGAGGAAGGACCTACAGGGAAGGAGCCCCACCTGAGAGTCATGTAGCCATGGGCTGACAACAGGTGTTTATCTTATTTATTGTGCAGCCTAGAGCAACTTCGTTGGCATTTCCAATTCCTAGTTCTCTTATCTATTGTTTTTCTTTCAGTTTTAAGCTGTGATTAAGAGTACAGTCTTAAGGATCGAACTGCCTGGCTTTGGATCCTGTTTCTACTATTTGCTTCCTGTGTGACTTTGGGCAATTTAGTTAATCTCTCTGTGCCCCAGTTTTCTCAACTGTGAAGTGAGGAAAATAATAGTGTTCACCTCACAGTTGTTGTAAGGATTAAATGAGATAATATTTTTAAACTGCTTAGAACAGTACTTGGCATATAATGAGTGCTAATAAATCACCAGCTATTATCACGGCCAGCAGTAAACTCTTCATCTCTTTTCATCAATTAATTTCATCAATTAATTTACATTCCTTAACTTTCAACATTGACTAAGCCAAAAAAGAAAGAAAAAGAAAAAATAATTAAAAGCAGCGATTATTTGGTAGAAGGAATATAAATTATTCCCAACCAAATGTAAATGATTTGTGTACTGTCTTACCAAAACCACTTTGGATTATGTAAACACAATTTCCTCTCCGTTGTGTGAGGCATCAGGATTCAGTAAAATGGTGCTTTGAGAACAAAAATATTGTTCTACTCAGATACACAGAAGGTTTAGTGAATAGTACCAAACCAAGGAAAAGTCAGACTACATATCATACAGGATACTCCCCGCTGTGAAAACTACCTACTGGGCATCACATTTAAGCTGTTTCAAAAAGCATTTAACTACTTTATATCACAATACTTTGCATAATATTCAAATTTCTCAACACGTTCCAGCAAATTAAAGGGGTCCTGGGAGGAACAGGCTCATGGCCCAAAAATGACCCAATACCACCCAAACAAGCTGCTGCTGATTGAACCTGGAACAACTTGCTGGCCTGTGGTGTGCTGCTGGGCCCCGAGGACCTGCAAACCACCCAGAAGACTCAGAGCCACACTGCATGTGCCAGAAAAGAAGTGTGTTGTTGACCTTGTCTGGGATGGAGGAATAAAAATTGTTCTTTTTCTCTGATGTATGACATATGATGGTAGGAGGATCACGGACCTAGTCAGACAGAAGTGGGTTCAAATTCCACGTGTCCCCTTGCAAGCTGTGTGAACTTGGGCAATTTCCTAATTGTCCCTGAGCCTCAGTTTCTTCATGAATATAAATGGAAATAATAGTGTTTACCTTGTGGGCTAATTGTGAAGAGTACATCAGGATACTCACACACACACGCATGTATACACACACATATACACATAACTATCTGGCATATAGGAGTTGCTCAATAAACTAATATTTCCTGTTTTCCTTCATATATATCAGTAATAGTAGCATATTTCAAAGGAATTTGACAGCAAAAGCATTATTAGTTGTAGGATAACAGTGATCTACTAATTATCACAAAATTGTTTCTTTCTAAATATCAGGCTTTTGTCTTGATGTCGGAGGTCAGTTTGCTGAACGTATTCTCGTCCTGCTCCCAAGAGGAATTGATTTTAGTCCTAGCACTGCCACGAATGAGCTGTGGGATTTGGGGGACTTACTTACCCTCTCTGGTTGACAGTTTCCAAACACTTATGGCATGAGTGTTGCTTTAAATTACTTCATGATTCCCTGCAGCCAAAAATGTGATGATTTTGCCTCACTTGACTCCTAGCCCTGATTCTTTTTTTGTTCTTTGTTGGCTTTTTATGTTTTTTTTTATTAGCATATATAATTTACTGCAATCTTTCCTGTTCTCATGCTTGCTGTGCTGTCTGAATTTAACAGGGAAGTTCTAATTTCACGCTACTTTCTGCTTCTTTTTAAATCCTTCTGTCATGTACAACTGACTGTGATGTACATTTTATACTTCCCATGATAATAAATCGACAATTCAGTTACAATAATAGTATTTGGTGGCTTTAGTTTTCAGATCTAATGTTACTGTCCTTTTCTAAAATTGGACCTATTTTAAACAGCAAAATTTAAGGCACTTAAAGTCAACACGTCTGATTTTTTACAAAAACGAAATATTGCTTTTGCAATTACAATGGCAGGAAGCAAGTAGTGGCAGAAAAAATGTAGTAACTAAAGTAGAGCACTGAGATTCTGATAAGGGCAATCTAAATTTATGACAAACTAACAGAGGGCGTCAAATACGCTATTAAATTTTGTGAAATGCCAGAATGCTTAATCTATGGGAGTTGGGGAAAAGCGCTCAGTCAAGGGTGCTACCAATCCTTTGTGTTATTATTAAGAGGTGCATCTTCAGATTGGTAACTTGTGCAGTGAATGACATGAACAACTGTAGCTGGCCAGCCTGTGTTTCATTACAATTTGGGAAAAAGTGGCTGCTCTTTCATATCCTCCCGATAAGTATAACTGACTATGGTTGCAGCACCTAGATTCCCAGACACCAGTGGTCTCCTAGTTCCCTGAGCATGAGGAGAGATGACTAACCTCAATACCAAACAATCATAAAATAAATGAAGATCACATTGGAATACTCTGGGTGTTCTTCCCAACATCTAAGAAATAGCAACTTGTAAATAACAAATCTGCACCTTACTGTAAAACCAGTTTCCAGAATGACTTCTTTTCTTCTTATGACTCAAACTTTTAATTGAGAGCAATGTCAGATCCATCAAGCAGTATAAAGTTTGTTTATCCTTCTCCAGAAATATAACTTATTATCTAAGTTATTACTCTTTATTTGAAAGCTTTGGATGATAAATGAAATGAAGCATCTGCACACCTAATTGTTCTTTCTGGAATTGGGCACCAGGGGAAAGCAAAATAGTAATGATTTTGTAGGCAGACAAAAGAAGACAAAAAGCTGAATAAAAGCACTGTATCTTTTCACCAAAGGCTAAGGTGATGTGTTGGTGTTTTGAAATATCATAACGATAATAATAACAGTATTAATAATAGCAATTATGTAAAAGCCTCTGGTAATTGCAATTCTATTAGGAGGTTGAGTATTATTGGTCACCATTGTGCCACCTTGTGGTCACAAAAGAACACATGTTTTTCCCATGAAGTAAATCCATTAAGTTTTTATCCCCCCCAACCCCCCCACCCCTTACCCAACTGCTATGGGATATTATTTGGAAGAAGAACTTGGGAAGCATGTTGCCAATATCGCCTATAAACAAAATATGATGGGCACCACTCAAGTCAGAAAATAGCATACACTGAAAAGCAACAAATGGAATTGATCTAAGTATGGATTTCACACACTAAATTTTCCCTCTGCCACCTCAACGTGGATTATATATTTAGAAGATGAAATTGAAGTTCATTTAGGTTACCATTCTCGATCTACAAATATAGACATAGAAGTCTGGATTGTTTCCATTGAGAATCTAATAAATAATTCAGCAATCTATTTATAGTACGAAAAAGCAGCCAGAATTTACGTATCAATTACCAATATTGTGTTAGAATAATCACATCAATGCATATATAAAAACAGCATAATGAACACAATTTTAATTACATGAGTAAAGATTTTCTTTGTAAATATGTGTATTATAATCTCATAATTTTTATAAATTTCAAAGAGTTTGTGATATTTATCTAAAGGATTTTTTTGTTTTCTAAACTCCACTTATGTCA